AGGCTTCATTTTATTAGTGACTGAAAACTTCTGGAGTATTTTCATACAGCTAAGCCTTACCTGTATAAAACCAATACTGATAGGAAAAGCTGTAGAATAAGTAGCATTAGATAAGATGCATGGAAGAAATGGAAATCCAGTATGAAGAACTTTCAGCCTCTACCTCACCAAGGGTAAGCAGCATGCTGCAGTGAATAGCAAGCAATGCCATCACCCAATGGAATTGCTGTCAGTTTAAAAACCTAATTTGACAGGGTAACAAAATGGACTTTAATTCAGTAGCGATCAGAAGTAGTTCATCTACTAGGAAAAGATGATCTGTCTTCAATGATTGAATCCCAGCTTGCCAAAACTCTTCATTAACTAAAGCTCAGTATTTTCATCCCATGAGATTAAAATGTTCTGTGTTCCACTTGCCTGGGTGCCAAGTTTTACAGTAAAATGAGACGTTTCTCACAATCTATGCTGTAATTAGCTCAGTCACAATATGCCAGAAAAATGAATAGTAGGTCTCCAATAGAAATAAATTTCTGAAGCAGAGCTGATCTAGCTGGGTCAGCCTACACACTTCTTCCATTTGCATATACAGTCTGAAGGGTTTGATCCAGGATACGAGGCACAAACTCAATTGAAGCCAGTGACCATCTTACACACAACCCCAAATTGTTCCTGAGGTAGGTTATATTGCACTGCAACTGAAAATTTGTATGTTGTCAATTTATAAATGGTTTCAATTATCATTAATCTTGTTTCTCTCCAGGAGAAACTACTCTATTTGTGTTGCCTGAAAACCATTCACACTGATTTGACATTCCTCACCTGCATCGTCATTCACTTGCTTATTTCACTGCAGTTTTGTCACCTGCAAATAGATGGGACTTTAGATGAAAGCTATTCAGTCTGAAGCATCACTTGCAAGAAAACTTTTGAAAAAATAACTCTTGTTGATGCACAGCTAGTGCTTCTTTTCAGAGTTGTGAGATGCTAGCAACTTAAATCTTAGTCTTTTTTTGCTGTGGTGGGTTTTGTGGGTTTTTTTGTTTTTGTTTTTTGTTTTTCAGAGGGGTGGGAATATTGACAAAGGATTCTCAATCTATTCTGTACAATCAAAATCACAAGGCTATGTATCATTATGACAGTTACTTGGAAAGGCTTTTCACCTTCAGAATAAAATTAAAAAGAAAAAAAATCCAGATATTCAATATATGAAGCAACTTAGAAACTCAAAGGCTCTTTCAAGCACAAGCCATAAGCCCCAGGATTTCCAAGCCTAACTGTAGCATGCAAGCTGCCAAACAGAACTGACTCCACCTTTCCCCCTTCCTAGTACAATGGCTGTCAAGGTTAATGACAGCATGATAAACAAAGAAATATTGGCCAGATTTATATGCATAACAAAGAAAAGTTAAGTTGTTAGAAGTTTGTTTTAAATAAGTTTATATACTCTGGGAAAAAGTCTAAAATGAATTAACACTACATAACATTTTCACTTACACATTTTCACTTTTCAAAATGGAAGTAAGATTTATTCAACATTAAGTGTAACAACACATCAGAAATCAATATCCACTTATAAAATAAAGCAAAACAACATGAATAAACACAAGAAAATACTGTCTGAGACTCTCCAAGCAGGACATTTCTCATAAGACTCACAGGAAAAAAAAATGCAAACAAAGACTCAATTCCCAAAAACTCAGGTGTTGGGTTGTGGGTTTTTTTTTGTTTTTGTTTTTTTCCAGTTATAAAGCAATATATAGCTAATGGGAGGTAAACTAGAAAGGGGAATGAAATGCATCATGCTGTACAACACCAAAGAAATACTCCAACTGCATTTGTGTACAGCCTTAACAACATGCAGTAGATGAAGTCAAAAGTAAGTATAGTGTGTATATATTAGAGAGACAGAAACAAGTCAGTCCCAGGGCTTTGTTTCTTACTTCAGTTCAGTTAACAAAAACAAACAGAAGTAAATAGAGGAAGAGCAGAATCTGCGTGGTGGACAACATATCTTCCTAGAATAGTAAAGCCTTTTGAATAAGATTTAAACTGTGCACACATTTATTTGTCTTGGTCCTCTTCTTATTATGTCATCGGAAAACAACCTAGAACCAAAGACAGGCTTTATGCAAATATATACATTTTTATAAAGCTGTAATTAAACAAAACAATGCAAGTCATTCAAATTCTGCTAATCTTTTCAGTCAGGTATTAATATGCTGAACACTTACTGCTAAATCTTTTTTAAACTGAAAATAAGAGCAGGGCAAGACACTTCCCAAACAGCCTTGCTAACATACAGGGCAATTTAATTTTTTTGTTGCTTGCAGGAGAGCAGTGTGAAAACACAAATGCTATGCAATTCATTTCACAAAACAAGCCTTTCAGATCAAAAGCTGGGATGTTGGTTCAAATCAATCCACAACCTGGCAGAATTATTTTGCCAGTCTCTTTGTTTTGGTTGTTGTTGTTGTTTGTTTGTTTCTTTTAACAAACCCCTAAAAACTCCCATAGCTCTTGTCAGATATTGAAAAGCAAGCAAGCACAGCGCACATGCAGATATTAGAATTAGATAGCCAAATACAAATAACTACAAAGTTCCAAGCAGTATACATCTACATTTCCCTGGGGAGACTCAATCCTATTAGGAGATGGATTTCAAAGCTGATAAAAGAACACAGGTTACCTGGTTCCCTTCAGCTCCCTGCCTATCACCCGATGACCTCCAGAAATCTGTTCTACCAACAAACTAATACGCTAGTACAAATACTCAAGATGGATGCTTCTGCAGAACACTGATTTTAATTAACTTCAGTAAGAATGGGCTGATGGCTGACAACTGAAGTCTGACCTGTATAAGACTAGATATACTGACCTTAATTTTAAATTACTTCAAGTCTGAAAATTATTGGGCAGCATCAAGTTAAGATACAAATAAAAAACAAATGAAGGACAATTAAGGCAGATAACTTTACCACTGAAATAAATTGCACCACTCAATGACATACTTTGCTCATCTGAAGTACAGCAGTGTTTATACAGCCATATCCAGCCATGACTTAGTCTTAAAAAAAAAAATTAGTAATTCTCAATGACTGAGTAAAAAAAAAAAAAAAAAGCTGTATTCTAAACACAAACAATCAACTATCATTACCTGCATATTTCTTTTTACTAACAGCAGAAGGATCACAAAAAACTGAGCAGAATTAAAGTAAAAGGAATGTAAAGGAGAGTTAATTCAGATGTCATCAACGTTTTAAGAAGTCACCTTTAAGACTACTGAAATCATTATCCAGAACTGCTCTGAGGTCTGGCAATCACTTAAGTTAGTGCTGTAGCCACCAAATTTAAAGCTGGTTTGAAAATGGAATAGAAAGATCAAGGCAATGCCCTAAAAAGTTTGCTCTGCAAACAAAGGTTAATTTCTTGGACAAAGTTACTGATCTGAACGTTGAAATTGAACATATCGCATCTCCAGCACTGAAAGCTGTGAATATCTTTTAGTCTTCTGATATAGGAGCAAACGATACACACCTTTGCATTCTTTTTCATCGTACGTGATGAGTAAGGATTTCCCTGTAACACTTGAGATCAACCAATTTCCATTTAAGAGAATTTCAGAGATACATTAAACATGGAACATATTCTAAGTTTGTTAAGCATGAAACTCCCAGTTACAGATCAAGAATTGATCAAATACATTTTAACTTTTGAAAGACAGTGGATTGATAAGTACTACCATCTTGCTTAGGTAACAATCAGATGCAAGAGCAATGAAGAATAACCATTCGTTTGAAACTGTTACAATCAGCATGAATCAGTGCCTTCTACTTATGCAAGAGAGGACTGGTGGAGTTTCAGATTAGAACCACATCAAATGGGTTGGAAGGGAAAGCCATCTACTAAAAATATGCATGAAATTGTTGAACTGCTGCAGCCTCAAAAGCACTGTTATCTAAACATTTACATGACGTCAAGCTATGACACTCCACAGGCAAAATCCTTTTTTGTTGTTATTGACTATACTCAAATCTGTGTTTAAAAGACAAAAGCAGAAATGTTTACAAGCAAATGAAATCAAACAGCCTTTGAAAACAACTATTATTCAATGAAGATGCAATATCCAGGATTAAAATGCCTTGAGCAATTGGGAGCAAGCTGTGTTTCAATCACAAATCAGTTTAGTCAGTGCAACTAGAACATATTAGAAAACTATGTTCATCATCCTTAACATATTGCACAAGGAGATAAGCAAATGGTAAAGAGGTCCAAGAATCAGTAATTCCACCATTTGGCTTCAAACAAAAATTTAAGTTAAACACTTGGGTTTATTTGCTTCTTCTCCCCTGTTTCTAAGTACATGAAAAATAAATGCTTTTTTTTTTTTTGCATACATTATAAAATTAGGATAGCAATCCTCCAGCAGTCTATCTTGGAAGTGGAATGAAACTATTCTGACATTGTAAAAGCTGGTGGTATGAGAAATGCTTATTGGAGCTGCTCTCTCTTCTGCACGTACTCTTCTCCCATGTATTTAGAGGCAAAGGAGCAGAATACTTTAGGCTTCCATTTCTAATGCATTTTATGCAGTTAGTCATGAAACTAATGCCCAACTCTAGCACACATCTATACTCATCACAAATAAACACAAGTCTTCTTGGATTCCTAGGCTTTCAGATAAGGATAGATAGACTATCATGGAGAACTTGATGGAAAATTTTCTGCTTTAGTCAGTTGTCCATCAGAAAGTATACAGTAATTTACTAAGTAGGTGTCAGCTAAGTAGCAAAATAAAAGTATACCGTATGTGTCTGGAACTGCACATGTGCAATTTTAAATTCCACCATTCACCAAGAAAAAAATTAACAGCTTTAATCTCAAATAAATTCTTCATAATCTGGTCATAAAGCATTCTGCATGGCAACCAGAAATATCTTTACTAAAGTTTTTGTGCTCTAAGGAGAGAGAAAAATCAATCTTCAGGAAGAAACTTTGGAGAGTTGGCGTTTGGGTTTTTTCATTTTGTTAACTTGTCAGTATATTTTTTGACATGAAAACAAACAGACATTTCTTTCTTCAGGTGACAGACACATGATTCTCCCTGATGAGGCTAGAGAGCATCTACAAAGGGGCCACTATCCTGACAAAGCACACTTTAAAAAAATGTTTAAGAAAGCAAAGATCCTCACCTTCAGAAAAAGGTAAACTTAAAACATATTAGCTACAAGAGTTTCAACAGAAAAACCAAAAAACTCTGATCACAACCATGCAGAGTTTAGAGCTCAGGAAGTCTGCTGCTGCTGAAGAATGATGACACCAGATTGTCTCAAATGTCTTACAGCAATCCTAGTGGTTGGATTGCTGATTGGACTCGGTGGCTGCCAGCTTACTCAAATTGCTTTAAGCAAACAGATGTAAAATTGGAGGACCTCTTAAAGTATATAATCTCCTCACTTCTGAGATGTTGACACATCAGGTACTTCAGTGCTGAAGCTGGATTTGATGGTTACCAATGAGGATCTGCCCTAGTGTCTATGATCTCAACATCCTTCCTTCCTTTCTGTACCTCATCAGATGCCTCACATTTATTTTTTTTTAAGTTGATAAAAAAAAAAAGGACACTAGAGGTTTCAATAAAAACAATTCTACAGTAGTCATAACAGCAAGAACACAAGTCATTTAGATTATGAACAAATTAGTCTGTAAGGGCTCAACTAAATAACGGAGAAAGCTCTATGAATTTAAATCAATTACAGTTTATGCTCCAACATACAATACTTACTGCTTCTGACCATATTAACTTAAGCTTTTAGTTATTATATTTATTGAGTAGCAGCTATAGAGTTACAGGACAGCTAAAACTGAGTGTTAAAGCAGTCTGTGCTTCAAATCTTGTTTTTAGAATACTATAACATTTTTTCTTCCAGAAGCTGGTAAAATTGTGTATTTTAAGATAGATAATACTTTTTAAAAAGTCACAGCCAATTAAGAATCTACCACTGCCTGTTTTACTTTTCAGTTACACATTCTACAGCAAATTTAATTTGGCTTTTCAGTATTTGAGCATGACTTTCACACAAATTCTCTAGGGAAACTGCTTTAGCAAGGAGTTGGACTAAATAATCTCCAGAGGTTCCTTCCAACCCCTACTGCTGTGTGATTAGGAAGCACTGTCCCCCTCCCCAGTACCAGACTGTTTTTTCCATATGTAAATATTTACACTCTAGTATCAAAAAGCTGCTTCATCTTCACTGGTAATGGTAGACAATTCCTCAAACTTCACATTGCAATATCTACCATCCAGCCTCAAATCTTAATTAAAACTCAATTATTGCTATAGCCTTCTCAATTGCAGACAAAAATCAAACGTTTTCTGGTAGTATTTTTCTTTATGTTATTTTGGAGGCAAAATAAGTTCCTTAATTTTATGTATTCTCCCTTTTTACATTTTTCAAGTACTTCATAAGGCTTTTAACAACAGACTCTGAAGACTCAGCATTGAGGTGGTTCACCCTGACAAAAGTCTTTTTACATAGGTGCATTAGTACAGTCTAACAAGAACAGACCAAGTAATTTTAGTTCAAGGACATCACTGCTACTTTATGATGACTATTTTCGCAGTTATAACTGTTCAATGATTCAGAGAACACTATAATTTCATTATTTTCTATTCCATCAAGTTTCTTTTTCTTCAAATTTCACAAATGTTTCCCCTACGCTCTTCTGTATAGACGATGTTCAATCATTCCTTGACAAACAGCAAAACTCTGGATTCTTTCTGTTCTCTTAAATAATTAATCAGTATTACAGAACTTTTAAGGTACTTAAACACCTCCATGCCATCTCTTACCGTTCCTCTTCTAACCATTTCACTACCCACTGTAAGCGCTTCTGTTAACATCACTGCTACTTACTAAGGACAGAACTAACATTTATGTACAATGGAACCTAAACAGAAAATTACAGAAAAGAAGCACACATACCAGTCAATTTCAATTAGCTACAGGTTTTGTTAAAGGCTCCTTACTAGCAAAAAAATTTAGGCAGTCAGTGAATGAATTCTTTCATACAGTACAGCATGAACATTTGGCGAGGAATGAGCCCCTAATCACAGGCTGCTTGCTGGCAGTGGCACCTGTTACTGAGGCAACTAGGATACCCCTATGGAAGAGCTGAAACAATTCCGTGATCGCTGGATAAATTGCTTGTGTTCACTAGAGCAAGAAATATTTCTTTGGAATGTACCTCAAAATAAATTCCTGCTCAGTATTAACATTTTCAGACAAACTGAATAAAAGGCACTGTTACTCAAGCAGTACATTTGTTGTCACCTACTGTTTAAAAAAAAGTTTTCAAACAATTAGCTACTGTTGCCCTAAATAGGCTTCCTTGCTACCTCACAGTATTTTCATCTTTCTGTATAAAAGCTCAACAAAAACTTTCTGAAGCACATCGAGTCTCACCTTTATATCTAAAATTATGAGTTAGTATAACAGTATACATTACAAAATTATACCATTTACTTCAGACGTGTCTGAACAGCTAAATCTTCAAACTATACAAAAATAAAGTGTATGAAATCTTACAAAAGGAAGACATTAAGACATTAATAGCTAATCCAAAAAAATATAACAATAACTTATACACAGCAGTAAGCATAAGCAATGTAGCCTACAAGAGCTTTGAATAAACAGAACTCTGCAATATGTCTGAAACAAGCATCACCTAAAATTGGAACATTCCCAAAGCACAACAATGTTTCCAATTTATTGTCTTTGCCACAGTACAAACTTTCACAAACCAGATGTCCATTGTCCATCAGTCTGTAAACAAAAGCTACTAATCCCCTCCTTGTTAAGAGGGTGAATATTTTCAGTCCCCAGTAAAGTTTCATATCGATCACTTGCATAAGGAATCAAGAGCTTCTTCTCTTGTTAAATTACACACATCTATATAAATTTATCATACAGCCTGCAGTGAAGTAAAATCACAGTGACAGTCCTGGGAAAAATTTTTTTTTTGTTTGTTTTTTTAACAGCAGGACCTGAACCATTCTAATAATAAATGCATTAACAAAGCTTCCCATAGTAAAAGCGTGGCATTTCCATTTCCAGAAATCAAGTCAATTAGAAATCCTAGGTTCTACTTAAAAACCCCAAAAATCTAAAAGTGAAAAGTTTCATCTTCTCAGTCAAATATCAGTCTCTCAATTTTACTTGCAGAGAGACTTTTCCAGTCTGTAAAACAGTAGTGCAATTCAATTAATTCTACTTCTCTTTATTTTTCTTGAAGTCCAGTAGATAAGTGTCCTAGCTCTATGGAAAGATAGGAAGATGCTCCGGTAAACAATAAACTTTGGCAAGCCTGGGAAGGCTTACTAGTTCATTAAAGCTTTTAAGTCCAAAGTGGCTTAAAAAGGGTTTATGAATAAACAAAAGGGGCAAAAAAAGAAATAAATAGGCAGAAATGAATGTAAACTGTCTGAAATTTTTAATGATTTCTCATTGACAGCTGGCACGATCTTTGACAAGAGAGTCAGTTAAATAGAATTGACCTAGAGAACATCCCATTTGAAAACAGAATGCTCAAATGGAATTACATTCCTAAAGATTAAAAAAAAAAAAAAAAAAGAGTTCTTACAATGTTATTACAGATTTCTGCCCACCTCACTTACACTTCTTCTTAAAGAGGCTTTTTATTTTTGATGGCTTTTTGTTTTTTTCACCATTTTGATACAGGTCCTGTGGGATGCTACTTATCCTAGGGACAGAACAAGCTTCTTGGCTGGGTTTACTATCACTGCTGGCAGAAGAGCATGAGGTGTGCCGAGGCTTTACAACTGGGATCCCACTTGAAAGCTGGTTCATGCTGCAGGACTTCTCCAAAATTCCATTATAAACTTTGCTTGCGGGGCTAAAAATCATGCTTTTAGTTTCTGCCATGCCTACACAGTCAGGAGAGCCCCTAGATATATCTGCAGTTAGAGAAGAAGAGTCTCCTGTAGATGATTCCTCAAGTGAGAGTTCTTCCCGGGATACTTTCTGAGGAGAAAGTGTCTGGTACATTTCAAGACTAGACGGAGGAGACTGCTTCCTTCCAATGGATGAATTTAACGAGTCACATTCCGAACCTGCTTCCTGTACTTCCCTGAGTCAGAGCAAACAGAGGAGAAAACAATGAAACTTTAATTGCATGGTGGGATTTAAAGGAAATAAATTTAGAATTAACAGCATTAGTCTAAAAGCACCACCCACTTTTCCCTAGTAGTTAATTAACAAAAAAAACATTAGGTCAGACATTTTAACTTACAACTTGAATTATATCATTTTATTACCTAAACTTAAGTTAGTCAACTTCTGAAATCGTTTTTGTGGGTAGCAGGAATCGGTCATTTTATCTCACTGAAAAGAACAAAAACTATCTTTCTGGCACGTGAAGTCAAGAAAAGTTATGAAATGAAAGGAGAAGATTTAAGTCTATCATATACAAGAAGTTTCTTCAGGACAAGTGTCCCTACCTTTCAACAAGCTCATTTGCTCCTTCCAAAAGGAATTTAACCTTTTCCTATGAGGCCATGTAACAAGAGTAGGTACACGCTCAACATGCTGTAAGAATTGTGTTACCATCCATCTTCTCTTCGCCCAGTAGCTGACATTGCTTTTGATCCTAGTTTCAGATGTAAAAGCCAGTAACATATTGTAATGGAGAATCAGGGTTAGTTCAGTGCACCCTGGATTGTAACATTACTTAACTGTATATGACATACTATCTATTTACATATTCATACCAGACAAGAACACTCTCTGCTCCCTGTGAACTCTATTATTTATATTATCCTACAGATTACTTTAATTTCTGACTTGGTTCAATCTCTAATTCTAAACTGATAGTTTCAAATAATCCTATCAGATTTCCAAGTGCTGTTTGCTAGTCTCCGTACCATTGTTTATCAGCAGAGAAGTAAATGGCTTCCTCCTCCTCTTCAGTTCGATAAAGAGCTGGACAGCTCGACACAGAAAGGATGTCAGGGTCAGGGGAGTGCAAAGCATGCTGAGACTGTGGAGATGATGGCACAACATTGCGTCTTGATCGACACAAGCTACTGCTTCTTGCCAGTGTGCTTGGAGGTTTTACAATGGACCCTGAGGCAAAGAAAAAGCAAACCAAAATCCCCCAAGTGACATTGATGTTAATAATATCTACTCTGAAGACTAAATAATAGGTGTCTGCTTCAGCCACAGTGATTCTTAAGCAACTTCAATACAGGCCAATTATTTAGAGGACATTGCTTAACTGTTTAGAGAGAAGACAGACTGACATTGCCTTATACATTCTACAGTTAGATGAAGCAGCTAACCAAGATCTAACTGCAGAAGTTTCGCATCTGCCAGATACTACCGTCTGTGCGCATCACTGGCTCACTACCCTCTCTTGAGATCAAGACTCCCAAGCCCTTATAAAACAAGAACAGCTGTGCTAAAATTAGTATGTTAGGCAATATCCTGCATTTTACTTGTGTAGTAATTTGAAGCTTAAAGAGTTTATGAAAGTTTTGCAAGTGCATCTAGCCAAACAGCCAACTGAATTATACTGCATTAGTTGAAAATTAACATTAGATACAGAAGACTAATTTATCATATTTCATTTTAATTAAAAGATAGTAAATATATAATTAAGCCTCATTTCAAGCTCAAGAATTTTTGATAACATTTTCTTTTGCCATGCAAGTTATGAACTTCAGGAAAAAAATATTAATGGGTGGAGACAGCAACACAAGAATTGATGATTCAAGAATTAATGTGAAGGGACAAACTATTATCTTCCTCACCCAATTTCTCCTTCAGAAGTTGATTAAGTAGCAATACTTTTATGTAAAGAAACTACAAACCTACTTTCAGGCAAGCTGTTATCAGTCTCATATACCTCTTCAAAGTGTCCCACAGAATGCATCACTTTGCTTAAATAAGACTGTTCCTGGTATTCAAGATCTTTGTCTAACTCAGTACACCACAGATGCAGGTATTTTTTTTGTTTTTGGTAGCACAAGCCTTGTTTTTATGAACAAGGATGCCTAGCCCTAACAAAATGCTTTCTTTTTTTTATATGCCAGTTTAGCAACCACTAGATTAGTTTCTCTTCATGGAATCTCAGAAAAGGTTCAGTTCCTGTTTTCAGTGCTGGAAGTCACAACTTTCACAAAACAGCAAACAGCTGCATCTTTATCAGTAATCAGATTTTGTGATCTACTGGGCTGAGGGATAAAGAATGGCTTCCAAGTTCCAACATAACAGTTGTCATGTAACTCAAACTTTTGATTTTACTTTGAGGAATTCCCTACTGACCTGAAATGCAGGTATTAACAGCTCAGAAATAAGGTCTTACCACTACAAAGATAAGTCTATGAAACAGAAACCTGGAAGTTTACTGAGGTGAAACTACAGAATCCATTAAGGAAACATGCACTGTGTGTCCAGGTCAATTAGATGCCATTCTACTTGATGGTGTAAAAACCAAGACTGAACCATCGCTGAGAGGAATTACAAACATTTTGTTTAGTTGTAGGTGCATACACGCCTACATTAGTGTAGGGATTATGAAGGATTAAGCTATGACAACTTAACATTTAGAATTTTCAAGTACAACTGAAACACACTATGTTGAGGAACTAGCAGAACCTTAATCAGCCAATGAAAAACATCAAGTTTCACTACCCCTTTCTTATAATGACTTCATTCCATTCTCAATCACATTTTTCCTAACCCCCTTCTGTTCTTCAGTTCAGGATTGATTAAACAGATCTTAAGAAGAGATCAAAGGACACCAGGCCAGGTAATGAGCCCAGACCAGTAAGTTCAGTAGGTTCATACACTAAAACAGTGCTGCTTGTAACTGACCTCTCTACACATTGCCTTTTATCAGACATTTTGCTTCTGTCTTTCCTAGTGTACATTTGTCATTTTTGTCTAAAGGATGGGAATTATTTTAACCATTATCAACCTGTCACATAATTTTACTACTCTTGAACTGATTTCAGCAACATATTTTCTTTCCCTGCTCCCAAAGCATTTCCAATTCTGAGATTGTTTTCTTTTATAATGGTTTTTTTTCCTTGTTGTTTGTTTTTCACTGAGTACAAACTTTAAAATCACTTCCACAAAAGCAGACTCATGCCTTACCAAAGCTCAGAAAGCATATTTAAAGTTTTTTGTAATACTATTGCATCCATTGGTCATCCAAGGAATTTGTTCATAAGGTTTAAATCAAAGTCCTCATGGTAAAGATTATAGAGACAGTATTCTTTAGAAAGTGATCAGAACTTGCAGAAGAAAGTGTTGCAAGGGTTTTCAAAGAGGCCTGTAGAATACATGCGAGAAGGCTGGTAAGATCAGAAGGAAAGCGTGCCCAAAGCATATGGATTGAAACCAGCTAAGTGGCAAACAGTCCCATTATGCAACTTTAAAACACTAAGTCTAATTTATTCAGAGAATTCCAGCCCTAGAAGAAAAACATATATATGACGAATGCTTTCTCCCTACTTAATATTTAGCTTGATGCTTCTTGAACAGCTACATGGGAACTCGTCTTTTTGAGCCTAGTTAATCACAAGTTCCCTGAAAGAGGCTCGTGTTGACATAATGACTCAAGATATCACGGTGGTCTGAATCCCCAGTGTATATATTTTGATCATAGTTTAACCAAAGCTGGATCTTCCTCCCTCCAGCATTTGGCCTCTGTGCTTCACACTCAAACAACTCAATGCATCTCAACATAAACGTTCTCCCTAAAAGCTTCCCTTGGACAACAACAAGAATTTCTTTCAGGCACTGAAGAATGTTTGAATAGATATGTATCACACTGCCTATCAAACAAAGGGTAAGATCTACCCAGTAGCTGAAGGGATCCTAGGCAAACACCATCCCTGTCATCAGAAAGAACAGGTGCACTAAGAAATTCAACATTATAGATAAATTGGAGTTTAGACAAAACATGCAAGTACAACAAGCAGACTTTCAAAGCTTCTTAGCCTTTGAATCCTGCATTCCCCCTTCCTTCCCAGTCTCCAACAGTGAGAGGGAATAAAGGCTTTACTGCAAAACTTCATTTTCAGTTTATGCAAGTCTTGAAAGACACCTGAAAAAGTTACCTCAAATTTAATTTCTTCCAACTTTGCTCCAACTCTTATTTTTAGCACTCTCCTCTTGCTTGACTTTAAAATCCCATCCCTCCAAAGCTTTTCCCCTTTTTTTTTTTTTTTACTGAACTTAACACTTACCATGAAACTGTGAAACTATTGGAGGAGTATCTTCATCTAAGTCATCAACTCCCCCTGCAATTGGATAAGGAGGAATGGAAACTCGGGGCATAACTACCCAGCTGTGATCAGAGTAGAGAGAAGAGGTCAAGCTTGGTAGACCAGAATTGTGTGCTATTTGAAAACCACAAATCTTCTCAATCTGTTGCCACCGATAAAGACGCTCCCGCAAGCAGGTTGTCAACTCAGACAGTGCTTTCCTGAAGAAAAATCATACGTTTAAAATTACATTTTTACTGACAAAGCAACATCTGTGCAGTCATTCTAAAATACCTCAAGGTTCATTAAGACAGTCCAAATATTCCCAACATCGATGTATTTTAATCTATTCACATAAACAGGCAAAAACACTAAGTTATGTAACTCTGATTCACTTGTTCCAGGAATTCACAATTCACTTCCCTCCAAGAAAAAAAACAAAAAAAAACCAAAAAAAACACATTCTGGTATTAGACTTACTTGGCTTCAAGGATTTTATGGTCCACCTCATCCAGTGAAGAGCTGTGTGCAACATGTAGTGTTCCAAACACAGTGCTTCTCTTCTTTTTTATCTTTTCTGCCTAAAAAGCAGAAATGCACAAATTAAATACATAATGTGTACAGCAATATACATGCAAAATGGATGAATAGTATAAATCAGCTCAAAGCAGAAAAGATACCCACACACTTACCTGAGAACTTTGTATTTAACGTTAAATTTATTTAGCAAAATATTGGTCTTTACAAAACAGTGAAGTCATTACCTCATCTTTGGCGATTGCTAATTGCATTTCAGCATGCTGTCTTTTGATATTGTAATATTGTACTTCAACTTCATGCGTTAACTGAAGCCACTTCTGCAATGCTTCAGGAACAGACCAATTACTTCTCAACTCAAATTCCTTCTCAGCCTTTTTTAGAGCCATGCGCACCTGACAATCAAAAAGAAAGCATCACCAAGATTATCATTAGAACTGACAGTAAAAGAATGTGAAATACAAACATCTTTTTATCCCACAGCAACACTCAGGCTTTACAAATCTTTTGCAAGTGTCACTCCCTCTCAGGAAGCACAGCAAACATTTCTGAAACTATACAAGGGCTGCTCTGAATGTTATTATACCTCCTCCTACACTAGTCCACAACATGCATTTGACCTGCTACTACTAAGAAGAACAAGACGAAGCCCCTAGTTCCCAGTAAAACTTCTGTAATCCTGCTCCATGAATCTAGTTACATATGCTCTTAAGACCATAAAGTTGTACACAAAAAACACAACTGAAACTATAATGACAACTGACAGACTTTTGCTTTAAGTACTTTTAGACTTCTCCATTCAAATCTAGTATTGGAGAAAGACTGTTTTAAACAATTCCAAAGTTCTAATAAAGCAAGAACCAAATTTAAGTCAGCATTAAAATACAGTTTGCAGATACCTGCACCAGCTCCTCCTCTGCATATTTGAGCCTGCTGAGCTCACATTCAGCTCCTTCCCTCAACTCCCTTAGGCGATGAGCTTCACGTTTGGCATCATTGATCTCATCCATCATTTTGCGCTCCAGATTTTGTTTTTCCACAGCTACATTTCTATTCTCTTCCTGTGCTTTCTCAAGCCTTCACAGTTGAACAGAAAAAAAAATGAAAAAACACACAGCATGTTTGTTAGAAGTTACCATCCTCCAGAGAAGAAAAAGTGTTCAACATCACAACAATACAAATTGAATGGATACAAATTGAAACAGAAGACTCTCTCTGGACACCAGGAAGAACGCTTGTGCTGTGCAGGTGAGCAAGCATTGGCACAAGATGCCCAGAAAGGCTGCGGAGTATCCCTCCTCAGAGATCTTCAAAAAGCCACCTCGATGTGGTCCTGGGCAACCTGCTCTGAGTTGGACTGAACAGCCTCCAGGGATCCCTTCCCACCTCAGCCATTCTGTGACAATAAAAACTGAACAAGCCACATGAATCTGTGGCATCACAATGAGATGTTCAGAGTGTCAGACAAAACACACCAATTGCTCGCTGAGCCTTCACTAAAGGTAATAAGATCAAAGTATCAGTTTCCATAGAAAATTGAGTTACAAACATACCAAAAGAAACCTAACAACTTTCATAACATTAAATAAGCAATATAATCAGTCAGAGTTTGATTCAATCTTAAAAGCTAAAAGTAGATGAAACATACATTTGTGTTCTCACTTCAACATATATCAGAAAATATAGACTACAAAGTTAACTAATTATTTGAAAATAACAATACCTACTTCTAAACTAGTAGATAAAGACTGAACCACTATTCTCTACTCACATCTTCACTTTCTATCACAATTCCAAGTACCCAGGAGCAGTATCTACCCAAATCCCCATCAGCACTGAGATTAGTTTCTATTTATAAAAAAAAAAAAAAAAAAAAAGCAAAGGAAGCTTAAATTTTATTATTATTTTTTAACTAGTATAAATGATCTGTATCTATACTTCACCTCAAAAGGTAGTCAAGGGCAACATTAATTCTTTTTTTGTTTTTATACCTTTCCTGCAAGTCAAGAAGACTTTGTTCTGCTGTCTGCAAACTTTCCAAGTCCTTCATCATTTTTGTGATGTGTTCTTTCGAGGTTCTGTTCTGTGTATATGCAAACCAGCAGCCTCCAAAACCAATAACTATAGAAACCGTTAATACAAAATCCTTCATCCAGTTGTGAGGGGGACCTGTATAGAGAATAATATGATCATTAATTACTTCACATATACAGAAGTCACACTAATGAGTTAGTGGGGTTTTTTTCTGTGTGTATAAATTGCTGTGGTGTTTTTTCCTTCCTGCACAGTATAGGCTGTAGTTGCCATCCCTGGCAGTGTTCAAGGGGTGTCTGCATGAGGAGCTATGAGATATAGTTTAATTTGTGGTAGCAATGTAATGAGAAGATGGTTGGACTAGATGGTCTTACAGGTCATTTCCAACTTGTGATTTTATGATTCTATGTAAGTGTTAAGTATTTTGATATCAATAATCCCTTTAGATATGCCACTTTTAACATTACTGCAGGTACAGAAGCAAATGTGTCACAGTTTATTAGTTGAAGTAAAGCCCCATAAAATAACTGCATTCATTTTAGGGGTAAGTAGCTTCATGAGCAACTTAACTGCTTTAGAGAACAGAAAAAAACACTTTTGCAGTATTCTCACAGCTAAGCAACCCAAGTGCAAAACTAAGTGTTTCAAGACTGCTACAACAGAGCAGTAAGCATTAAAGGCATAATTCAAGTGTTTTTCTCCCTGCAAATCCCCAGCTCAGATCTGCCAGGTGAGCTCAGACCCAATCTGTGATTCAGTAGTCTCCTAACTGATTACCAAGCTCTAAGTGCTAACTAATTAAGGGACACCTCTTATGCATAGAAACAGAACTGACTATAACTGTACAAGCAAGCATGTAGACCACTGATGAAGACAAAGTCTGCATGAGCCAAAATGAGTTAAATGTAGAACTGCAGTATTACATTCAAGTGCACTTCAACTTAAGTCTGCACAAAAGACACTAGCATCAGATATGAACAATCACCATCTCCCACTTTTTTTCTTTTTGAGGTTAAAGAATGATGCCCACTAATCTCAGCATCCCAGCTTGCACTGGAGGTAAACCTAACATTAGCTAGGAGTCTAGAAAGCACAGCCAAAAATATTTAGAAGACATCACAAAAGCCAACTTGCAGTCTAGAGTAGATACTACAATTTCTATGTAGTCTTTAACACGTATGTGGGCCTTTAATCCATCATTCTGACAATATTTTAATCAACTGACCAGTTTTATACTGCATGTCAAGCAATCAGTATACCCACAATAAAAGTAAGCTATTCTACCTACAGAATCAAAAGTCATTGGACATTCCCGCTGTTTAATTTATACAAGAAAAAGCCAAGGTAAAAAAATCACTAACGTGTAAGAGGTCCAAATAAAACAACATCCAAGGCTTTAAGTTGAAGTTTCTGTCTATGGCTCCGGTCAATTATTTTCAGGTGAGAGATCATGAAAGCATGTTCATTTACTGCTATCCTGTTAATGACAAAACAACACATTACATACTTCCACAAGCTGTACTCAAATCATTTCTCAAAGAAAACGCACCCACACTGTACAGAATTTTTGTTATATGGATTAAGGTCATGCAATCAGATTAAGAGATACAATATGATAATCTTGTTGTGAAAAACAACGTGGCTAGGGAAGAACAATCAAATCATAGTGTCACCCTTTATGGAATATTCATAAAATGAATCCATCTGGTGTAATTAAAAGCAATGATTTGTCTAGAAACTTCTGGCAATTCAAAATATACACAATACTCAAATGTAGTAAATATGCTCAAGAAAATGGTTTCCACATATAGTTCTGATATTTACCCATGCAATACATTCAAAGTTGACCAAAAGAAAGTGAGCTAACGTACAGATAATTATGTAGTCATTGATAAAAGCTTCAACAGAAAAAGAGATAAAACTAAGATAAAGGAGCAACAGGAAGGAAACTATAGCTAGAATTACTTCAGCAGAAAAAAAAAAAATAATAAAAAAATCAGTCAGCCTTTAGAAATACCACGGCAATTCTCTTTTCTTATATTTGACCACATCCTAGTTAGTCTTCAGGTTCATGCAGTTGTTCCCACATAATAGCTAATCAGCAGCCTACAGTGAATCATTTGAAACTAATTCACAAGAAGTACTGACCTGGGAAGTGTTGTTCCATTGACATTGCTCTCCCTAAAATTCTTTTCATACTGGGGCAGTTCAACAAATTCTGACAGCCATTGAAGAGTGTCCTCTTGAGTCCAGTTATGAACTGAGAGAAAAAAGGTTGATTAATTTTAGCAAAAAAAGCAATAATAAGGCATTGCGGACAAGCAGCAGAAAAAAAAAAATCAAGTTACAGTGAGCATGAGAGTTTAGCCAAAAAGAACTGCAAACAAATCAGTATTCACATTAACCAGTGTCACAGCAGGTGCTGTAGCAATAATTTAACATACCATATCAAAACCCCTCCCAGGAACCCGCTCTCATCTTCATAGAAGCTTGTGCAAACTAACCACAAAAGGGGAGCAAAGAAGTGAGAAAGATGGGAAGAGTGAAAGAGAATATTGAAAGATAGTGGATACTTAACAGCAGAATACATGAACTCCTTCAAAAGTCCAGGACTTCTGTATTATGTGCAATGGTATTCCCTCTAAGAGAAATGCTTAAATTGATTCAAAAATCTCAAGTATATAATGGCAGGAGTCTATATAACCTGTCACAGCTATAAATGCTCTAAAGTAAATAAAGAAATATTAGAAATGCTATCCATAGATTTATAACCTCCAAACATTACTGGCCATCACAGTCCAGCTGCCCCAACCTAGAGCTTCACACCAATAAATTCAAAAAGCAATTTCATAGTTTCATACCCCATTTCTTCCCTTGCTTTTGCACCAGACCTTTTTTCCAGGTGTTGATCTTCAGACTCCATTTTGTCATAATACTCTAAACTTTGGTAAAAGATAGTTCAACTCTATTTACAGATTGTTTTTGTATTGCAAAGGTTCTTAACTGTTCCTTTAGTGGGAAACCATCAGGTTCACAAGTTGTTCTAAGCATCTTGAAAGGTTAGTCAAGATCATCCCAGATTGTCCTTAACTGCACCCCAGAAGTACTACACTCACAAACCAACTCAAAACAACTGCACTGTTTGGATTAGACGGCAAAAGTCATCTAAAATAGCTACTACACACTAGACACCTCGTTATTGACAGTACAGAACACGCAGTTCTGGAAGCAACAGTTCACTGAGTTTGCAAATGGAAAAATTAACAAGTTTCTCTTCTCCTGAAAGTATTTTGCAATCATATTGTTAAAATCAAACTGAAATTGGTTCTCGTTTTTAATAAAACTTCAGTGATATTATACATTTTACGGAAGAAATACAATTACTGAAGTTGTTCATAATAGACTAAGTTACTTTTGCTCTACTGCAAAGACAAAAAGATAGCCTTCTCCACAGAACACTGAAGAAAGTTCCCAAAACAATCTGGTAAGTTATAATGGGGAAATAAGTCATTCATAACCCATCACTGCACCAGATACCTCCGTAAGTACAGAAAATCCATAGAGCAGCAAGGTCTACCTGTTCTGAACTAAAATGAAAACTTGTACTTACTGTGATCTTCTCATATACTTTCCCATTTACAAAAACAGAAGAGACTGCTATTAACAGTTATACACAGGTGTGCCTACTTAAATGACCTCTCTCAACTTTAATATTAATCAGAACATGGAGTCAACTCTTATTCTAGCATTCCATATTCTGAATCTGTCCACAAGAAATTCAGCTTTGTTTGTTAAAACAAAGGCATAAGTAACAAACATTTCTCCTTTTAATAAATATTTCCTCTTTTGACCTTCGACACCAACATACTGAATCAGAATGAAGAGTAGTCAGAATGCCTGTTTCAGTTCTACAGAAACCCATGGCAAATTAGCTGTCTGATTAGAAAACTACAAATCACACAGTGAAAACTTCCAAGTTTCATGCTTGTCTAGGTCTATCAGAATCTTATTTCACTTCATTTTATCACTAGATAGGCTAGAATCCTCAGATTCAGGAAATACCTGGCTTTGTGTTGGTTTGTTTCTTTAATTTATTTGTATATAACCACTACTCAATGTTAAAGAGAAGATAATTAAGCCTGAGTCTTGCAATTTAGACAAGCAACTAAAGTCATACATACAATTTATTTTTCCTGATTCCAATAAACAGTCCTTTTCATTAAGATTATTTTCCCCCAATAAAAAACAGAGATGTGAGAAAAGTCTTTTCCAGGAGTCAACAGCTTTCCGAAAGTACAAGAAAAATGTTAGAGTAGTTCCAAGGGCCAGTCTCTTAATTAAGAGATTAAAAAGAATAAGACAACAAAGATTCTGGGGAGGGGCTGATCCAGATGTCAATAAGAATGGCATCTAAAGCAAAGTAAAATACAATATCATGCACGCGGTCTGGCTAAGTCCTAAACCTCACAGTCCTTCCATTTTTATAAACAAATTCTTGCATCCAAGTATAGACCAGTATAGCTAAGGAAAAACACTGCCATCTTTCCCTCACATCTTATATGAAAAGCTGTTTTGCTTGATCTTTCATCCTAAACTGGTTATGTTCCCCCTCTCTCAACATGTTATCCATAGCTAAAAATTTAACTGCAGAACAAGCTCCTAATTCCCTACAGGATCTGTCAAGCATATCCACTTGCTCAGAAGCAAGTAAGTAGTAATTATCTGATTAACTGATCCAGTGGCAAACAAGTACAGCTGTAAAAGAGGATGTGCAATTAACTAATGAGTGAAAGTAATCTGCAGCTGGAAAAAAAGGCACACAGACACATTGCTACCAAATCTGAAGAACTGTGTGGTGTTTCTAGCCCTACAGCAGGGAAGAGAAGATTGTAATAACCTGGAAAGGATAAAGTGACAACAATCCATGGGTTGAACAATGAAATTAGGAAATTTTACACATCAAGCTTAACCTTGAGAAAAGACACTTGAAACCTAACTCATTCATGTTAGGGGAGGTGTTAGCAGGGTTCAAAGTTCCTCTGCAAATAATTAGTAGCATAAAAATAAGATGCTTTCAGAAACAAATGGTGCAGAAAAAATACAAGTCCAAATCTGATAGAGGACAATATTTTCAGTACACAGGAAAGAAATTATACACTTCTAAAAACTGAATAAACAGGAAAACATTAGGATAAATGAAAAGTAACAAAACTTCGATCACATATTCTCTCTCCTTAACATCACAAAGAGCAAGCTAGCTGCCTTAAGTAACACAAGAAGGTACTACCATCACACCCAAACTACAGGGCAGGCTGAGATATCATATAGGCTCTAAACGAAGTACACTTGTATCCCATATGAAGCTCAGTTTCCACATTTAAAAACTGCTTCCAAAATACACAGTTTCTTTGTAGAAATTGTCAGATTTTTACCTTTTACTTTCTATGCAATAGTTAGTTGCTTTTAATCTCTGTGTTTTATTTAAAACCAACAGAAAACAGCTTTCAACTAGATGGCAGAATAGGGGGTGAGGGCAGACCAATAGACTATCCTGGGAAACCAGAAACAAGCATTCTATTATAGGAATGTCCTCAAAACTTCCTTTTATCACCATGGAAGCTTCCTTCAACTTAGGAAGAAATTCCTTTAGGTACCTGTAATGTTTGAGAGTATTAATGCAGAGAGCATAATACAAAAACAAATTGCAATTTAACTTATTTTACAAAGTTAACCTTCACTCTAGGCAATTTACTCCAGATTCCAAATGATGCTGCACAACAAGTGTTCAACCCAAAGCGTTATCCTCCACAAAACTACTTCTAAGTTGAAATTGTTGCATGCCTGCTTGCAATCTATTTCTGCACAAGTGACATTCTAATGCTAGGTCTGCATGTGAGGCCTCTACTTCCCTTTCCTGAAGCACCACAGCAAAGCCCTGGGAAATTCATTTACAACAGCCAAAACATTCAAGCTTTCTTTTTATTCACGTTTTCGATGTAGCATATAGAAGTCAGAAGGATCGCCTGACCTGTCTCCAATAAGACCTTAAAACCAGCATATAAATTTATCCCTCAACAGCATACAGTAGTGAGAAGTAAGCTGGCCTTCATTCAGCAGAAGCAACAGCCTGCTGAAACACGATACAGAAGAACTGATGACATGAGTGTACTCAAAGTCAAGCAGGCAGCTGCAGTTCAACTCCATCAGCACTGCCAATTAGAATGTGACAGCTCCAAGTGTGCTGAGGAAGTGACTTTTACTTATTTTCATCACCCAGAAAGAATACAGTAGATAGCAAATGGAGGAGTAGCAATTGAACGACTCAAAGTTAAAGGCATATGGCATTAAAGAGTAATCATAGTAGCCTTTCGTGTCATACCTATTTCTACAAGTAGCTATCTTGAGAGACAGCATGTCAGCAACATGCCTTGGGCAGGCAGGTGTAAAAGCCACAGTGTTTACACCCCAATGCAGCACCTACTCTCTAGACTTGCTTCAGCTGTTATTTGCTTATTTTGGATACCAATTTCAGTGTTTCTTTTTAAAAAACAGCTGTAAAAACACACTTGAAAGTAAAAGGAGCAAGATGACCCTGTATAAAGCTGTTCCTTGCTAACCCATATTCATTGCTCACTAGGAGAACAGGCAATAGATATGCTTTTATTCATGTTAAAGTTATTACAAAGCACAGTTCTATGGAGAGGCAGCTGTAAAGTAAAATATTACAGTATCAGACCCAGAACTCTTATGGGCCTCCAAGACAGACCAGAATACATACAACAGCAATACTTTACAGCGATTAGTGAATGGCATTCATATTCTGAATGCTGAAAACAGACTAATCAGGCAAAATCACAACACAGACAAAAATAACAAAGTGATTCCATATCAAGCATGAGGAAGGACTCCAAGGATTTCACTGTAGCAAGACCTTCAGCAGCTGCATTATGTGAAATACTGCGCAACCAGTTCTTACAATTTTTAAATTAAATTTAAAATAAGTAAATGGTGACCCTATCTTTCCAACAGTGTAGCACTAAAAGCACAAGTCTAATTCCCCCTCGTGCAGAATGCCTGTCTGCAGTACTGCACCCTCCCACCCCAAATGGCATGCAGCCTTACATAACCCGGCCCTTAGCTGGGTGCACACGTGCTTCCAGCCTCCAGTATTTAAAACCTGAGACAGTAAACGAATTAGAAAGTGCAAGGCAACCATAACATCTTCATGGCATGCAGTTTAGTCCCAGCTGCTGCAACAACACTTGTGAAATATTACCTCAGATTTAAACAGGTGATCATATATAAATAAAGCCTTTAAAAAAAATCTTTTCCTCTAATAAAGAAGGTAGTTCAGGTTATCTTCTTTTAACACAGAAGAGCTCGAAAGAAAAACATACAGGACAGGAAAGAAGCTTTTGTTTTTTTATAGAACAGTCGACACGATGCACTCAATACAGAGTAAACATCAAATAAACCATAATGGCAAAAAAAAGAGTTTGTAAAAGTAGCTTTTTATAGAATTTTTATAGAATTTTTATAGAATTTACAATTAATCTGACAAAAGCAAGCTACTCATTAACTCCAGGTTTGACCAGAATAGATCTATTTTACTACAGAAAAAAAAAAAAAAATCAAGCCCCATGGAGCAATGCTACAGTGCCAAGAGTATTAGCACCCTGTCCATTCCCCAGGACACATCAGAGAAAGGATACCCAGCTGAAAGCTCCTGCCCTATTTTTACAGATTCCCTTACTACTGAGGCTGCATGCCTAAATACCTCTTATGATAGTAGCCAAATTTACCTAATCTTGGTCCATTAGAGACAAAAAAAACCTACAAAACATGACTGAGCAGAAACTACAGAGCAAGTTCATCTTCATCACCTCTGCTGCACAGCTACTGCCTCTTAATGACCCTTGTGAAAAAAAACACACTGATTCTTCACCTCTAACTCAGTAATAACTAAGCCTGATACTTGAGAAGATGAAGTACTCAGCACATGTGCAAATGATGATGAGTCAAAAAAAAACAGCCAAATGCCGTAAGATGGAGATATGAACCAAAATAAAAATGGATATAAGCATAAAGATCAGCACTAATAGAAATCACAAGCCTTTTAAGAAACCAATGTTTTCTATGCTGAAAACAAGCTATGCTAGTTCTTAGTCACTCCTCTGAAAAGAACTGTGTCTCCAGAAGCTTGAGATTAAAAAATTTAAACGATCAGTATCAACTAAACTAAGTGATGCTGATTTGTACTAAGGACTCACCAAAACTAACTGGCAACGGAGCAACAACAGCCCAGATGCTGATTTAAGCTATGACATGGTTCCTCTTATGATGGCAAAAAACAGCAATTCCACAGTTTCTTGAACTTGCACCAGTGGAGACTGTGTCTTACATACTGAGCCAGGTAGGGACATAAAGCCAAAAGTAATTAAATAGCAATATTCTGATGTTTTTCTTGCTTCAAACTTTGTCCATCTTGCATCTTAAAAAGCAACAGTAAGCTATCTGATAAATACTGAAGACAAACATCCACACAAAGTAATATTTATTGGAAGGAAAGGGCAATTTTATTCAGTATAAACGTCATGTAGACATATTACTTCTTAGTTTCTGAATAAGCAGAGGTGCTAAGGGCACTATCTAAAGCTTGTAACTGTCATACCAATACCTTAACATTCTACTGAGCAAAGTCTCCATGTACTGATACAACCACTTACACTACTTTCCACAATCTTGCTTAATGCTGTTAAGTTGCATTAAACTGGCACTACAAACTAGCAATTATATCAGAATTCCTAAAACGTCTAGGAAGGAAAAGTAATATCTTCCATGTTTCCCAAGTTAAATGAAAACAGATTTGAGAGGATTCACACTTTCCACCGATCACCAAAATCAAGCATGTTTATAGAAGAAATTCAGAAACAACAATTCAAAACTGTTTAGGTTTGATTCTAAGTTCTGAAAGCAGTGAAAAGGTTGGTAATCACAGAAACAGGAGTTTGGAATCTCTGAATTACAGCAATTTAAGTGAAGATTTAAAAACATCTAAACAGCTTTTCATCTTACGAGGAAAAATTAAAAGAGAAAATAAAGAAAATAAAAAAGCATCTCTATCAGCTGTATTTCAATTAGCAACATAAAGCTTTAATATCTTTAGCTTAAATCTCACTTTTCCTAAAGCATCATTTATACCACACCATTAGTACCGCTTGGGAGTTTCACTCTAGAGGGGGCTTCTTCAGTGCTCAAACTGTATCTATAAGGAGATGCAGAACAAAATCACTGTAAAGACAGTGAGATCTGACAGTACCCTCAAAAACTTGTCTTACACTGTTTGCTACGTTCAAGAGACCTGGAACAAATTATACCAGAACTACCTGTTTACTGAGTATTATTATAGCCAGAATTACATATAATAATTCTAGGGACAATTTTAGGGAGATGATTTTTTCCAATAATGCAGCTGTAGTATTTTCTTTGCACAAGATCTTTTGTGAAGGAGAACTTGCAGAATACTTGAAAAGATTAGATAAAAGAAACACTGGTTAAAATACATTTATTACAGCAAACAGTTAACCAATGGTAAATGCACATTTAAGTGCCCATGTTAGCTGAATGAAAAGCATGTTAATCTTTCCATTTCTACACTTTCTTTTCCATTTCTATTCTTGTTCAACTGATAGCACTTTACAGGTCTCCAAAGTGCTCATTAGTAACACAGTATCTTTTGAAAAGGTTAAAAAAAGGTTTTATGCTTTTAAGAGCTCTAACATCTGCACCCTCTAGAGTTTCATTTTAATCACTATATTCTAGACCATATTCAGCAATGAACAGAAAACAGCTACCATTTCATATTTGATATTGATATTTCCTCCAAACTGAAGGGGTGCACGCTGGGCCATTATTTCAATGTCCTGTATTCCAAGTTTTAAAAGACTTTACAAAATGTTTTATTCTAAGAATTAGGTTTCATAGCCAAAGGAATTCGTAGAGTAGAGACACACTGGGATTTCTACTTTACTATGATGTGCATAATGTTTAAAAACACTATGATAGCAACCTTCAGGAATTACTAAATTAAAAACAAGCTCATCTGGAATTCAATGCCTGCAACAGGTACTTCCATAAATCACAACCTTGTGTCAGTGAATTTAAGCTATCCTAATTTATTCACAATACATTCCACAGAGCACATGGAAATTAACTCTAGATGGGCTGAGCGAGTTTTCAGATGGATTTATATGAATATCTACTCCCTGTGCTATAGGGTACTACTATAGATTCCTGAAGATGCTTAAGCACAGGTCATCCATTTACTACTCTAAGTGACTTGGTAAAAAATGGTTGAATTATGTCTATTTCAATAAGCACCATGATTTCTAGTTATTCTTTTTTACCTACCTTCAGATGTTTTCCATCGTCTCCATAGATCCTCAATAGTGATATGCTTGTCTTCTCTATGCAGGTGGCTATGTTTATTAGAAGCATCCTTATACTGCATATCTTCCCTTAGAAACTAAAGAAAACAGGAAAACATCTTTAATTCCCAAGTAATATTGATTTCTAAACAAAAACTAAGTAAATTGGGCAGAAGAGAATCTTTACCATCTCTTCCCTATGTGAGCAGCACAAAATTCAGGCAGGTCAACTACGTCAGATTCAGAAAGTTTACTATTTTTACAGACTTGATTTGCAATCATTAAGTCCTAGAAAAACTGAAGCTGCAGTTGGTAGTATATTGACACCATTATTAGTATATCTTAGCCTTACAGCATTTACAAGTATGTATCATGTCAATCACTCTGCATACTTCTCCTTTCTGAATAGATTTAATCTTCTTCACCTTTGGAAGGCAAGACCATATAATATTTGAAAACGTATCAGTCCTTTATGGACAGTGAGTAATACTCAAATCCTGCTGTAGCAGTTAAATAAGCAAACTGCCTGAGGGATGAGAAGAGAGTACTAATATTACTACAGCCTTTTGAGTAACAAAAATTTGTTCTACTTAAAATTGAAAGACCGAAACCATCCTAGAGACAATTTTATTCTTACTAATGATGCCTCAGTGGCAACATTTCAAGTATCGAAGAATTACACATAGCTGTTTCATTTGCAGTGATTAACAGGAAGCCTATATACCAAAATGCCATGTTGTTGGGCTACAAAGCCAGCAGAGGGAGCAGGAGTTAACAGATTATTCACAATCAGCTCAGCTGCAAACACAGTTACACCAGCTTTTGGGTGAAAACAGCCTAACTTCAAACTTTCTTCACAAATACAGAAAACAGATCCAAGTTCAAAGCACAAAGCTTTCAGTTAGGAGAGAAGGAGAATGGAAAATACCAATTAAATATTCAAGGAAAACCTAAGTTGTTTTGTTTTAAATGAAGTATCCACACAAACTCGTAGCTTGCATTTAATAATCTGCATGTAGTAACTCCTCAGGACGGGTTATGCACTTCTGAGAATTTCTCCACGGAATTCTGTTCACCTGTTCAGTCCCACCTACCTCACCCCTTTCAGAAGCTGTGACAATAACAGTAACATCTTCCTTCACAGGCTCCTCTAACAGAAGACTGTCACAATGACAAAGTTACAGCATGAACACCTAGACCAGACAATGCCACTTTTCAGAGAAGGGATGCACTGCATTATGAAGAGATAGGAAAGTCAAATATGCTTTTTGTTTTGTTTAAAACACCATTATTTCAAAAAGGCCTAATACAGAAATTGTTCAGGAGGAGTTATCTTAAATGGAAGAAAGCCCTAAAAACAGAACAATTCTGGTAAGAGGAAAAAAAGGGGGGAAGAGGGTGGGTGGATTTTTCTATTTTTCATCACAGCAGCTAATCTCTCTTCTGTTGCCCTGGCCATTAAGTACACAAAGAACAGGTTAGAAAAATAACTCTAAACAGAGGTTAAAAGAATAAGCTCTGAGAAGAAAAAACAGCCAAAGATTATCTTAGGCAGCAGAATTACACAAAAAAAAAAAAAAAAAAAAAAAAAAAAAAGGCCTTTTAAGAAGACTATAAATTTGAAACCAAGAAAACAGATGAGTTGCATAAAAATACATCAAGAAAAAAAATCATTTGTTAATGCAAGTACTTGAAGCAGAAAGTGCTTTTTTTTATTCAAAAAAAAGAAAAAGGCAGACACCTAGATTCAAACCTTCAATTCCCAAAGGCTGGAGATACCTGTACTCCTACAAAAACTCACATCCCAGACCCCAGAATTCAGCAGCATAATAAGGTGCAATGGTAATGAGAAGACAGTTGGACTAGGTGATCTTATAGGTAGTTTCCAATCTTGTGATTCTATGATTCTATGTGTAATGAAAACATTTGCCCTGAAACAAACTGAAGCTGGAGTCCTGTAACAGCTACAAGGTCAGGCGAGCCACCAAATTCCTCTTCAGAAAACCTTTGGTACTCCAACAGTTAACTCAAATTACAGCCAACCTGTCACTAAACACTAGCCTGAAGCAAGAACCATCACCATCATAAAATTTTCATCCTTCTGAAGAAAAAACACAAACCAAAATCCAATACAGGTCTGACATGTAAATAGCATTAACAACCTAAAGCCATGCGTAACACCACAAAAAAAGAAAAAAAAAAAGAAAAAAAAAAAATGCTAGGCAGTTTGAGTACTGAAGTTTCAAAATATCTTTGCCTGTTGAGGATCAAATGAGCAATTGCATTCTTCTGCAAAACAGTGCTGAAGTTAATCACTCTCGCTAACTACAGAAGGAAGCATTCATCTGCTGTGTTTATTCCTTGTTCTGGAGTAAGACTCAAGTTTATGATTTCCAGTTTCAGAAGCTTAAAATAGACTCAAACTGACACACTTTAAGAGCAATTAGTAACATATCAGTGTTAGTATCTCCCTCCAGCAACTATTCCTTTATTATACAATATAATTCCCCCCAGTTTTCTTATTTCCTTCATTTTTATTTCTTCAAAGGACACTCAAAAAAATCGAACTACAACCCTACCTTCAGATACAGCCACTTCTAAAAGCAGCCACCATTAGATAGGCTTTCGGGAAGTCCTGTTGCTGTGTATTATCTATTGCTATCAGATACACGGCACCAGGCAAGCATGTTCTTAAAAGAGAATGTGGCACACAGCATTCACCATTTCTCCCTGTAGAAATAGCTTCTAAAGATGTGAAATAAGGCAACGTATCAAAGCCTATTGGACACATTAGTAGAGAAACAAAATTGCTTCCATAGCTGCAAAGGCAGAAGCTACTGTATATTAGCATTATCTATAATCCTAAATCTAGAATTTCTACCAAAAGAGATTATTGAAGTTCAAAAGAAAACTTCACTTATTCTACTGTAAACGTCACAGTCTCTTCAAAGGAAGGTAAAATTTCTGCAAGCACACTTCCTTGTAGCAAGACTGCCTGGCTGCAATGTTCATAAACAGGTTCAGACAGCCACATATTAGCTTAAGTAGCTCCATAGAGGCACAGCATGAGCTAGATCTCATTCAAAACACTGTTGAATAAGTTTCTATGCAACAGTACCCATGATAGCACCCACTGTTGTTCCACAGGACTCCCTGTGCAGACAGCACAGTGACACGGACATTACATCTGGGGGCAAAGCAGGCTCCTAACTTGCCTGCCATGAGAAGGAACTGCTGCATGGACATGCTCTAAGTAGCTACAAGGAAAAAAGGCAGTTCAAAGTAACATTCAACATTCAAAGTAAACAAGACCTCTTCGCACATCTACAACAAATTTAGTTGATAACTAAAACTAAAGAGTAACCTCAAGAGCAAGCCAATGGCTTTGGGAGGAAGAGTTTTGTCAGTCACGCTAGTAAGTATGTAAGGTATACTCATGTGCAAGATCCATGGTCTTCACACAATGTTTTTGCACAGAGAAGTAAAATGAACTCAAAAGATATCCTGGAGATGCAAAGCAGCTGAAGCATTTGCAGTCTGAGCTGCTTAAGTAGACATCCCTACAAAAGAGCACCTTGCCCAACAGTCTGACTCTGAAGCACTGACTACCTAATTACGAATACCAGTGTAGGGACACTGATTATAAAAATGATGACAAAAATCAGAATGCAATACATCCTTCAAAGTTTCTTTTCTATCTTGCTGTGTGTACATATGCAAACAAGGAACAGCAGCTCAGGTTATAGCTGTACTCCTCCCAGCTGAAATGACAACACCTGCAGTAAGATCCTGGAGCATAACAAGGTCCCAAGACACTAAACAAAGGGAGATGAAGCCTTCCAACTTCATTACACAAAGTCTGTAAGTTTAAAAACATTTGGATGGATTTCTTCAGAGCAGGCTCAGAACCACTTTTAATAGCTCTCTACCTTGCTACCTCTAAAAACTAAAACATCTTAGCTGGCAAATTATGTCCGTATGTCCATCAAATGCCCATCCACACTCTCTACCAGACACTTTTTTTTTTTTAAAAAAAGACTACATACAGATGTACTTATCCACTACCCCAAAAATACTTTACTACAACTTCTCTCAAGATTTTTAAGATTTAACAACCAAAAAGAACAGAGATACTGATATAGATTAGGTTTTCTTCAAGAACACAGAAGGGGCTGCTCACTTAGAAACATCAAGAGTTTAATGACACACAGTCATCTTCTATCTCATGCTTTAATGCTCCTAATACCCAAAATATTCAAAATGTTAGCACCACCTTACTTGATGCTTAGTTCTTCAGGATTTCCAACCATGCAATGCAATGCTTGCAATTTCCCTGAAATGTTTAGTCCTTACCCCCTAACCAAAAAAGATTATTGAAATGAACAGAGTTGTCATTTAATCTAGTAAATTACCTGGCTTGTTGTTTGTCTGTCCCCCTCCCCCCCCATAGAAACACACAATTACTTAAGGAATTAAAGAACAAAGATATCCACAGAATTCTTATACCAACTCATCTTCACACAGCTTAACAGCTCTCTCTGGAGTAATTTGGAAAATTTCATGTTGAAGTAGTTGTGTTACATTTTATTTCTTCAGATTCTAAAATAGTAATGTTAATGCATAATATTTTAATTTAGTAACCTTCTAAAGCAGAGAGTGATGTGTGCATGCATCATCCTAATTGCTAAAAGAAAGGAAGCCCATACAACCAGGAGCATATCACTAGCAAACTAATTACTCAGTAAAAGTGAACAGCATGATCTGATTCTCCTCTACAACAAGAGCTTTACTCACACATGAGCACCAAAGGCAGGGTGCATGAAGGCATACATTTCCCAACTCACCCAGACGCTAGAAATTACTGATTTTTCCATTGAGCTGTTAACACTTGACTGCTCCATCTCCTCCATTTTGACTTCCTACTGGATTTTTTGACAGTTTTGGATTTCGGTTTTTGTTTGTGGTTTTTTTGGTTTTTTGTTGTTGTTTTACTCCAATTCATCATCTTTCAAACATACTCATGACACTTTCTTTCATCTCTCTTGGGTTATTCATATCTTGGATGCAAATATGACTTCAAGCCCTCAAATAACAGCTGTACAGAGCATGCATGCATTCTGAAATGGTCACTTCTACTTCAAGAAAAGTCTTCACTTGTCAAACTTATCACAGCCAAAGCACTGTTTTACTATTCCTGATCAGATCATACATGTTATTTTTCTGTTTTAATCACTGTACTGGAGACAGTTTTCCTTTTTTCCTTATTATGCAAGTGTGCTCTAAATAAAATACAAATATTAAATCAAATAAACCCAAAGCTGTAAATCACGCCATTGGTTTTTGTGTTATATTGTACGCACAGTTGAGATATCAGTATTTCAAAAACACCAACTTATCAATTTCCTACAGTGATATTTCTTGAGGAAGTTCCTCGATGAAGGATCTACATGTAGAGCTTCTTTGGAAAGAGAAAAAAAGCTCCAGAATTAACAAGCACGCAAGTCTGTCTTACTGCTTGAGCCTCACCTCTAAAACAGGCAGTATATGCATTGTGTAACAGATGCTTCCTGAAGCAGACAGCCTCCCACAGCAGATGACTAAAATCTCCATCAGTAATGTCCTCCCTTTTAGTTACCCTTCAACAGCCTACATATTTAAACCAAGGTAAACAACTGCAACCTTTTGTACATAGATAGTAAAATATTATTAGGCGTCAGAATTGATAAATTCATATTCACCTATCCTAACAATAAATAGACTTCTTTCTCCACCCTTCCTTTTTCCCCACTCTCTACTGCACCTTTGAATTTCATGCTGACATCCTACTCAATAGGCTAAATAGACAGCAAAGCATAATCTATTATCCAAATAAGCTTTCTTTTTTCCTTTAGATTTTCTATCTTTAGACATCTTAGTTTATACCGAGTAGTCTAACATATCTAACAGAAAGACTAAAGGGGAAAAAAATCTAACCAGTCCACACTAACTAGATTCCTTCTATCCTTCTTAGTCACTGAAAAGCGTAAGACGTTTACTGAGGTCATCCAATAAATCCCATGGAATAAAAATTAGATGAAGTTTAAATCAAGTTCCCCACATGAAGAACACCCAAGTTAACTACAAGCTTTTTTCAGCTTCTAGAAGGCCCCCAGTTACAGTCAGTTTTTGAGGAAATAAAGTTTCTTAGAAAAGTACAAGCTTTCTTACTTTCAAGAGAAATTTATGGAATGGTTTTATGTGAGACTGCTATTTTACAGGGGAAAAAAAAAAGGGGGACATGAGAAACTTTAGAAAAAGATGCCTGGAGTTACTGTTAGGAGTTCTCAACTGAATTAGCAAATTGAAATAGCTAAAATACTTTAACAGCTTTACCTCTTGTTACCTTTCCTCTCTCAAAATAACTTATTTACAAGAACTTCCTTCCTTTGTGTAAATATATACTTGTAATCATAACACTGTGTTAGTTCAGCAAAAATTTAATGTGCTTTGTTGTATTTTTCCTGCCAAATAAAAAACATGGTGAATATCAATACAATGCTCTTCCAGGAGTCTTGTTGTAAACAAAAACCATGCAGCACAGAACAGTAGAAAATGCACTAACTTGTTAACCCACTAACTCATAGTACCTGTATTTAAGCAAGACTTATTTCCAGTAAAGTGGCTTATTATCTGTTCTCATCTTTAATCAAAACAAGCAGCATTGCCAACTCTCACGGTTACAGAAAACACCTGCTTCTGAAGCAGTGTCTATTAGGACACATTTTGTATATATTCTATTGTATATACTGTAATAAGGCAACCAGGTAAATATATTCTTAAACTATCAAATTTTTGAAGATTGAGATGTGGTTACAAGCACTACAGGAACATACAGATTACTAATTGTATTTACAATTAAAATGCAATTCTTATTAGCAAACCTAAAATTATTATCTTGGAAGAAAGTACATCTGTGCAAATACACACTATTTGCAGGAAAGTAAATAAGAAAAAACTAATGTATTTTTTATTAAACACTTCTAATACTTCTAATGTATTTTTTTATTAAACACAATGCTTTAAAATAAATTAAGTGGCAGAGAAAGGGTTACATTTCAGCTAATTTAGTTTATGCACAATGAGAATTTTGAACACACAGTTTTAGTAATCTTGCATACGACTTATAACAGCATCTCTTCAAGAACTGCTCAGGGAGAAACTTAAGTTCGGAAATAAAGACGAAGTCCACTGGACACAAGGGCAAGCTTTTTGAATACTAACAGAAAGCCAATAGAAAGTTTCCAATGCATAAGTATTTCAACATTTTTCAACATATTTCAACCATCCTGAAAAGGCGTTCAGAAATCTCACAACCACCAGAATTTCAGTTCACATGCTGGATTGTCCATATCCTGAACATCATGATAAGCAATTTAGCTCTAATGTTACAGAACGTCAGTGCTTAACTGCTGCCCCATGGCATACTTCAAAGTACAGGGTGAAATTTTTTCCTCAAAGTTACTTCCTTAAGTATGTTATTTTACTTGGGATCATTTTCCCCACTGTATAGCATTCCTACAGAAAACTCCTATCAAGCATCACTGTCAGTTTTCATGACCATACAGAAGAGAATCGACATAATTCACAACTTATGTCATTCAGTGAGAACTATCTGCCCTATGGAGCTACAAAATAAAGAGATGAAAAATTAGACTTTTCTCACTCACCTTAAAACCACATGGTAATACCTTCTCATTTTTAGGGGACATCTTCATTCCCCTTTCTTTCTCCTACCAGAAAGCAGGAGAAGCAAGAACAATGAAACTACATGTATTTATCTTCATTCCTCCCCAGTGAATCTCAGATCCAGATGGTCAAGTTAAGTACAAAAGCAAGACCTCTTCCAGAGTCAGCGGAAGAATGCCTACCAAGCTCAGCCAAGCACAACCATAAGCAACCATGCTTAAGGCAGGCCTAAATAACAAATCTTCATTAGTCTATAGGCTATAATAGGACCATTAACCTACAGCAGAAGGTTCTTACTACTTGCCCATAAACACATAAAGCATGACAACAAAAGACTGTTCTAGAGTGTCTTTAATAGGTATTGTTTTGAAGCAAGAAGTGTCTGAAAGAGATCTGAGATAAGCAGGAAAGCCCAGCAATACCCTGAGAAAAAAAGAAACTAAAATAAAAGTTGGCAGTTCAAATCAACTCTTAAGTTACCCTAACTGTAAGCTAAACTAAGGTCTGCCTCTTAACGCTAATCACAAAAATATCCACTTTATGTGTGAGCCTTAAAAACTTTTCTTTTAGGCTAGAACAATGGACTAATATATTTCATTTTTGACACCTCCAGAAACCAGATTTAACTTCCATATTTGGCCATAAAAAAGAGCCAAGTTTTAAAAAAGGAACAACTACTCGAGTTCTGGAACATCAGAGCAGCTATGTAAAACAGGGAGAAAAGGACAGACCTTGCAGATATGCACAAGTGAGGGCTTTCTATCCTCTCACCTCATCACTTTCATCTACTTCAATTCCACCATCTTTGTCATCATCCATTTGCTTATGGATCATGCGAAGGGCTTCCAGGCTGAACCGGTCCTCCTCAGTAAAGCACGGTGGGCTGAGAGAACTGCAGGAATCTAAAAGGGGAAAAACAAATCAGAACAGAAAATATTAGTTACTGTCTCTCTAGAACATGGTGATCCCAAGCAAGACACAGAATGTGAGTTTTTGTATGTGCATATGTATCTGACTGCACTCAGCCTTCAGATTACATGGCAAACTTTTACCTAAAAATGAAAAGAAAAACATCCTCTTTTTAACTAGCCTCACAGAAGAGGCTGGGATAGACTCCTGCAATCCCATCCCCCACCCTGTAACTATCTCTACTTCTATCTGTCAACTACTCTGCATGATCTATCGCTGCAGCACCAAAGAAAGCCACTGTCTCATTTCCAATCTCCTTTCAGAAAGCCTGGCAAAAACAAAGTGGAGGAGGGTGAGAGCAAGTTGTCATGTCCTGCAATTGCAGCTTCATAAGCAAATAAAGGAATGATAGCTAAACTGCAGTAATACTATAGGTAGTATACACAGGCAAAATACACACAGACTGCAAGTGAAGAAAGCACACCAAAAAGAAAATAAAACTGACAAAAATATTTGATCTCATAACCCTGTACATGCTGATCAAAAACAGCAATGTCACCACAGAGCAGGGTTCCAGGCCAAAAATAGCATCTTCTCATCCATGATTATTACAGAAGGCTTATGATTTGTGCACATCTGATGGCTTTGCTATGTCAAATTAGGTATCTGTTCTTCACCTTCGGCATGACGTGACAAACACTGCTCAATTCTACAATGTTTAACAATCAACCCATCATTAAAGATTTACCTTTCACAGACCTTTTCATTAGTTAGTAGCTAGTTTAACTAGTTCTGATGCATTCAGAACCAAATGATAGGAGATGCAGAAGAATAAGAAATGATTTTTAGTTCACCATAATTTCCCACTATATTGTCATTATTAAAAGGCACAGCTCCAATTAACTACAGCTAGGCACATTCTGCTTAACCCACACCAACACAATTGGAGAAGGCATGATTATCTTTTGCTTCTTCTATTACCTACCAGAAGACTAAGCTTTCATGTTGCAAGAAAAGATATTAAAGGTTCATTTATATGCAACATGAATGAAACATATACAAATTGATAGGATCTAGGGTTTACATAAGAAAAAAAACCTTAACATACCAATTAAATTGGCATGATTCTGCTTTTCTGTCTGTTATACATTAAAAATAATAACTATTAAGAAACACCCAGAAGACTCTACTTGCATAAAGCTACAAAGTTGAAGTACAAAGCCAGCAAATAAGTCATAACTGAGATCTCAGACACATTAGCAGGGCTAATCCTACTACAGACAGACATGAGTCCAAAGCATTCTTACTTTATACACAAGTTTCATTACAGAGAAATTGACAGTTCCATCTGTGTCCATATTTCAACTAAAAAAAAAAAAAAAAAAAAAAATCAACATAGCTGCACTATTACAAAATAAAAAGAAATCTCAGAGACGCATGAAATAGCTGTAGAAAAAAAAAAAAAGACAAGTAACTAAATATTAAACCAGACCCATCACGATTTTCAGCTTTGGAATGCAACTTCAAAGAAGCGACATTTCAAGATTTTGGTTTTTTACATTAAAAGACAGTTTTAACTTGTTTAACTTGAACTTAGTCTTAATTCTTATATAGTATAAAATATCAGATAAATAACAGTTTGTAAGCACTCACTCAAACGCATTTCTGATTTTTTCGGTTGAAAGGCCGGTTTTTCAGATCACAAGCCTTCTCAGACTGAGGTTGATCAGTTTCCTAAACAGAGTACTTATAAATACAGTTTAGTCGGAAGGGGCCATCAAAAAATTGAGACCAACTGCTTGACCAGTTTAGTGCTAACCAGAAGTTAAAGCACATTTGTGAAGGCATTGCCCAAATGCCTCTTGAATACTGAGGGGCATGTGGTACCAGCCACCCCTCCAAGAAGCTAGTTCTACTGTTTAACCAACCCACACAAGCAAAGGACTTTTCTTTACAACCAGCCAAACCTTTTTCGCTTATTTAAACATGAAGGCACTTGAATAAGCTATAACTCTTCAGAGAAGTAAACGGGCTGCTACTTATGCAGCAAATATCCCATGCTCTGGTCCCAGGAACACTTGATCTCTCTCAGAGGCAGAATTCCAGTTGCTGCTTTTTGGTCTGAGAAATATACAACAGGAACACATCAAGTGCAACAAAAAAAATAATCCATCCTAAATAGAATCCAGATTTACCTCCAAGTTAATTTTGATGCAATCTAGTTAAAATCAACATTACCAGACTAAAAGTTGTCAACCCTCTCTGCAGAGAACAACCTCAAAAATACAAAAATAAATTTACAAACCCACAACTATTTGTAAGAATACCTACAGAACCCTAACCAAATCCAAAAAAAGGTTCTAAAATACAGCATTCTGCCTCATTGGCAAAGCAGATAAAAAGCCCAGCAGCAACAAGTGAAAAGAATATTTGGTAATTCATTTCTCACTTGGAATCCACTCCAGACAATGGTTCTGAGATTCAAAACCTTCTATTACATTTAAAGGACAAACCTAATTTTTAGGTCTGGACTACTATGTACGTCCTAGGCTGACATGCTGTCACAAATACTTGAGTTCAAAATCATTCTCACAGGAAAGAGTACAAAGACAGTATCAAGCATTCATTCAGTGAGTATACTCGGTAACTTAAATTTGATTTATTCATTAAAGAATAAATCAACAGGAATCAGTGAAATAAAAGCAAAAGATGATGTTCAAGTGAGGAAGACAAGAGGCACACATTGTGAGGACATGCCTTCAACACAGGTCAGAAGCGTAGAAATTTCAGACATTATGCTCATGGTAAAGAGGGAATTTGTCACTGAAATATTAAGCATGTAATTAATGGCTCAACAAACTTAGCAGCTTCTGGAGTAAACCTCAATCCTGCCTTGAGCAAGTCAGAGGCTGCCTCCCAGCCCTGACAGGGCAGGAAACAGCAGTCCTCATCAGGCCACTGTTGCTAACTGCTCTTGCAGGAGGCAGTCTGAGAAGGAACGAGTTCAGAGAGATCCTATCCAGTTCATAGGAAGCTGTCCTTACAAATAAGGGGAAATAAATTAGCACTTGGTTCTCCCTCTCCCTTTTAAAAGGAGCTACATGAGAAACTTCTAGCTGAAGTTCTGAGCTGTAGCATCACAGCTTTTCCATCCCACTTCCTGATGGTAACAGGACTTCAGCTTACAGAGTGACATTGTCAACACAGACCAATAAGTAAAATTAATTACACCCATATCTTCAAGTGTTCGTGTCAGCAAAGCCCATGAGATTTATTTTAGGAATACACATGGCTCCAAAGCAAAAGGGTGTAAGATCACAACGCAGCCTGTCATCTACCCTGCGTTTACTTTTCCCCAAACTGTTGGCAGCATAACAAATTGCAGAATGAAGATGAAGACACCAACAAGCAGGCAGCCCTGCAGTTATTGCCCCCATTTTGCACATGGACTCCAGAGCATCAGAGCTGTAATGGAGCCCATGAAGTCACAGGGACTCTTGTCAGATGCTTGCAATTTTGAACTAGGCTCAAAAGCACCCTAAAGGCTTCTCAACAGCTCAAGGCACCTCCTTAAGAGTAAAGGGAAACAATGAATCTTCATAATTTCAAGAGTAAAAAGAAATCAGGTGCATGTCTAGAAATTTCTGAATTGGTCTGCTAAAGGAGCTTGTTGTTGGGAATTATTTGGACAAGTTGGTTACAACACATCATGTTTGTTCAGCACTCACCTAGAAGGAACAGAACCTTTTTTTTTCTCCTTACACTAACATAGAGCAGTCCCACAGAAGCCTACAATGCTTCCACGACTGCTTTTTCTGGTACATTCAGGAATATACCCTGTTCTGCTAGCTTTATTACTGAGAGGCCATCTGGGATAAAGGGAAGCCTCACACAAAAGGCAAGCACTATACTATAACATCAGCTTCTTAAGCACATACTCCAAGCTCAAAATAAGTGCACTTCAATAAGCTATGATGACAGAAGTGGGATTTCACTGCATTTTTCAGAGCCAAAGCAGGTGGCCACAACACTCTCTGCCACCTCTCCACCAAACGCATCTTCCTCTCACTACGATTACTATTTCTTTACAGCTTACATTTCTTTTTGTGATTTAGTTTTACGCTGTACTTTAATACACTGCATTTTGTTCAATTCAGGAGAAAAAAAAAAAAACAGCAACAATTTTTAAAGACGGGTACAAATCTGACCAATACACGAGGTTATTGGTGTCTTCAAAGCAACCGTTTTCACAAATATCACCACATTTAAAACAGCTGCTTACAAGAAAAGCAACAAACATTCAGCTTCTATCTTAAATCCTTACATAATGTGTCATTAAAATCTTCAAATGCTTGAAGAGATCCTCAGATTGAGTTTCATTTATTCTTTCAATTAACAACTCCCAAACCAAATCACTCCTACTCTTAATAATTAAACTCCTCCATGCGACAAGTAGGCTGAGCAGGATAACAGTTAACTTGACAATGTTATTTGTGACATTTATTTAAATGATGAGAGAAAAAAAATAAAGTTCCATCATTGCAGCATATCTTTCCACTAAATGTTAAAACAACAGACAATTTTGACAAAAGAGCACAGAATGCATTTATCTTCTAATCAAAACATTCATGTTACTTAAATGAGCTTTCTGAAAAGCAATATGCAATAATACTAATGACAGCAGGAAAAGGGGAAGGGGCACAGTGGGAAAGGAGAAAAGACAAGAATGCCCTGCTGTCTTTGAAGAATTTTCAAGCTCTCCACATTAGGCTTTTCTGCCACTGTATTAGAAGTTCAGATAATTTCTTCAATTGTTTTTATCAACTTATACAATACAGATGAAATTTAAAAAAATGAAAATCGTCTGTAAACCCCGGAACTGGAAATACTGTTTCTAAATGTACGTATGAAGTATAATTATTTAATATTATATGTATAAAGTATAATATTAGTAATTAATAACAAGGGGAAGGTGGAAGATGACGTGATTTGC